TATGCATTTGAAATTTTACATAACGCGCAATTTTGTCTTTTGCTGTCTTTCTGGTAATATNGCTTTAAATAAAATCACAACAAAAAACAAAACTTAAAACAATGCTCCTGGTTATTATAGTACAGTTAAAAGTAAATTGGCTCTGCCTCTTTGTGTAATTCAAAAATAAAAACATAATTTTCCCTTGATTTTATAAAACAAAACTAAATACGGTGGCAACATACAAACTATTGCAATACACAATTTCAAAGAGGCAAAATTGCGATGTAATTAAATGTGAGAAGATTTAAGCTATGTTCATTTTAATGCTCTCTCTGTTTTCTAAAATGTTCTCCCAATCGCTCCGAAAATCGGGGAAACTCGAATACGTCGACGGAAGCTCAAGTGAAGGCCCACATGTATGGATAGTTGGAATACGTCGACTACCATGTCGAACCACAAAACTCACTTCTATTTTATCGACGCAAATGACATCAGATCCCGTTAATAATCTCAAAAGTCGCCTTAATTGCTCCGAATTTCTTCCCCTTATAAATCTTTTCAGAAAATCAAAGGCCATAGTTTCTTCCTTATTCAAGGGAATAGCATTGAAGAGTTTAATAACTTTCATAACCGTTGTTTTCAAGCTTTCGTAAATGTTTAAGATGGAATTACTGTCTGGAAGAAAGTCTCGAAGTGCAGTTCCACAGACGGCTTTCATTGAATCTAGTGCGTATTTTGGTTCTTGTATTATGACTCGTGTGTGCCACTTGCAATATGAAAGCGTTTAATTCATCCTTGTGTGGAAGAACGTGTGAGTGGAAACGGTCTAATATGCCTAATAGTTCATCCTCATCAAAATCCTTACCATCTATAGCCTGTATCAGGACATCCTTTTCTGAATTTGATAGGAATAGTAGAAACGAATCTTTGAGAATCGAAGGTGTTATACTATCTTCTCCGTGAATTAATGCAATGGCAAAGGCTGGAGCCAGGTTTATAGGGAAATATCGATGGTCTATAAAACCTTTTAACAATATCCTCCCAATTGAGCCCCATTCCTCTTGTGAGTACTCGTTGACTAAAATGGGTACTCTATACGTTTCTTCATCAGTATTCCTTTGGTAAAACGAATCCCAAAACCCGGCATAAGCGTCTCTAGACAACCCATCTTGATCTTGCCCTTTTTCATCAACAAATGAAATATTCAAATTTGAATGGAGAATATCTGGTTTTTTGAAATATCCTATCAATTCATTCTGTAGTATTGTTCGATGTAAACATAAATTCATTGAGAATGGGTCGGCAAAATCTGCTTGTTGACTGCGAATTTGGCTATTGCTTCTGGATTCATTTCGAACAGTAGATGTGATGGGTGAGTCACAAAGACTTGTATCCTGCATACATGTAATGGTATTTTGACTGTTTTCGGGTTCTAGTTGAGTGTCTATATGGTCTATATAATGCACTGGACTTTTACGTAAATTGCTTGGTTCTTGTGGTATGTTAGAATCTGTCATGGCTTGCTGCAAAATGTCAAAAGATGGCGTTTCTATGTCACTGTAGACATACTTGTCAAAAAAGTCCTCGGATTCGAGATCGCTGCCGTTTTTGTCTTCATTCGGTTGAGTTGCAGCTTCAATATCCAATTTGGCTTGCTTAATCCGAGGAGTTAAATCTGGTAATGTATTGTCATCATCAACAGCCTTTGTAACCATATA